ACAGAAACAGCTGAAGAGTGTTTGTTTACCTACAGAAACAGCTGAAGTGACTCAGGTTAAGTAGCTGCAGCGTTTGAATTCTTTGTTTACACTGAGTGCAGACCTGCATTACATAGACACATATGGATGTTTATGTAAAAGCATTGTAGTAAAGTCTGAACTGAACCCTTTGATCTTGTTCAGGATGTTTTTTATGTTTGATTTCATGATTTGCAGTGAAGAGCTTTAATAACTCCAGGTCCCATTAAAGCAGGTGGTTCATAAAGAAGTCCAACAGTCTCCTTCTCACAACAATTAAACTATATTAAAGATCACTTATCGTATGAAGGGCAATAAGGATAAAAATAATAACTTAAGTCTAGAAACCTAAAAGCAGCAGAGTAACAGAACCCAGTCTTATTTAGTCTAAATCAGTTACAAAAATTCAGTTTACAAACAAAATGTTTTAAATTTTAACAGCTTTATGTTTCTGGAGGTGAACAGATGTTTTCAGCTGTCAGTAGATTTAAAACATGTTTACTTTGACACATCAGCTGTTGCTGTGAACCTTCTGACATGCTGACTACACGCGACGCTAACCGAGGCTAACTGTTAGCATCGCGTGATTCTCACCTGTAAATTCCACCAGTGGGTTCCCACGAAGTTGGAATAATGTCCGAGCTGCAGAGTGACGACTTCTCTACAAAAACTGCTCATCGTGACGAAATTAACGCGCAAAACAACGTGAAAAACCCATAACTTCTAACATGATGGAGGACTTCCTGTAAGTGAAAACAGTGAACACAACACAGGGAGGCAACGCCGCTTCCTATTGGCTAAACGATTTAGTAAGATCGATGGTGATTGGATGAATGAAACGGCTGTTTTCTATTGGTCGAACGATGTAGTAAGATGAAAGGTGATTGGATAATCGACACGCAAATAAACAGATGAGGAAAAAAATAATCCTGTGTTGAGATAGTCCGCTGTTAATTCTCTGAATCCGCCGTTAATTCTCTGAGGGGTTGAACTCTTCACCAAAGGAAAGTTTCAGCTGTATGATCGTGGTTACAGATGTTGAAGAACACCAGATGTTGTATTTCGTTCAGCGGAGTCCTTTTACCCCTTATACAATTGTTAATACAATAAAGTTAAAATGGCCTGACCTTAAAAAAAACAATCTAAGACATCAGAGATCATAGTGAAAAAAAAATTAGATGGTTTAAATATACAAATAAATTGAACCAACAAAATAATAGTAAAAAATAAAATAATTAAATTAAAAATCTTTTTCGGGCAGCTTTGGATAGGTGGTTCGAGCAGTCGTCCTCCAATGCGTGTGTTCGACTCCACCAGCTGGTGTCCGTGGGCAAGACACTGAAGCCCTCGTAGCCTCTGATGTGTGTCCCATCAGTGTCTGAATGTGATCTAAAGATCTGATTAGTCTCTGTAGAATGATTTGTTCAGTTATCTTTGTAGAGATCTAGTATAGAGCTGTGTGAATGGATAAATGAGGCACAGATTGTTGTGAAGAGCTTTGAGCATCTTGAAATAAGATAGAAAGGCGAAATATAAAGTGCAGTCTGTTTCTTTCAGCGTTTCCCTCTTCAGGGGTCAGCGAGTCATCCTTCTCCTCTCTCTGTCCTCTGTGTCCTCTGTCCTCACTCTGTCCTCTGTGTCCTCTGTCCTCACTCCAACTACCTCCATGTCCTCTCTAACTGCATCATATGTCTCCTCTTTGTCTTTTTCCTGCAGCTGCATTTCTAACATCCTTCGACCAATATACCCACTGTCCCTCCTCTGGACATGTCCAAACCACTGTCCCTCCTCTGGACTTGTCCAAACCACTGTCCCTCCTCTGGACATGTCCAAACCATCTCAGTGTGTCCTCTCTAACTGCATCCATATGTCTCCTCTTTGTCTTTTTCCTGCAGCTGCATTTCTAACATCCTTCTACCAATATACCCACTGTCCCTCCTCTGGACATGTCCAAACCGCTGTCCCTCCTCTGGACTTGTCCAAACCACTGTCCCTCCTCTGGACATGTCCAAACCACTGTCACTCCTCTGGACATGTCCAAACCACTGTCCCTCCTCTGGACATGTCCAAACCACTGTCCCTCCTCTGGACTTGTCCAAACCACTGTCCCTCCTCTGGACATGTCCAAACCACTGTCCCTCCTCTGGACATGTCCAAACCACTGTCCCTCCTCTGGACTTGTCCAAACCACTGTCCCTCCTCTGGACATGTCCAAACCATCTCAGTGTGTCCTCTCTAACTTTGTCTCCCAGTTGTTCAACCTGTGCTGTACCTCTGATGATCTCATTCCTGATCTTCTCCATCCTTGTCTCTCCTAAGAAGAACCTCAACATCTTCATTTCTGACACTTCCAGTTCTGTCTCCTGTCTTTTGTCCATGTCTCTGTCTCCAGACCATACAACAGCTGGTCTCAACACTGTCTTGTAAACCTCTCAATGTTCCACCTCCTCCCTCTCATTCACACACATGGACTCTGTCTTACTACGACTGACTTTCATTCCTCTTCTTTCAAGTTCATACCTCCACCTCTCCAAGTTCTCTTCCACCTGCTCCCTGTTCTCACCACCGATCACAATGTCATCTGCAAACATCTTAGTCCACGAGGATTCCTGCCTGACCTCATCTGTTAGTCGGTCCATCACCAGAGCAAACAAGAAGGGGCTCAGAGCTGATCCTTGATGCACTCCCTCCTCCACCTTGAAGCTATCTGTCACTCCTACAGCACATCTCACCACTGTCCTGCTGTCCTCATACATGTCCTGCTGTCCTCATAATGTCCTGCTGTCCTCATACATGTCCTGCTGTCCTCATACATGTCCTGCTGTCCTCATACATGTCCTGCTGTCCTCATACATGTCCTGCTGTCCTCATAATGTCTTGCTGTCTTCATACATGTCTTGCTGTCAGATGTTTTTTTCTAAATCCACAAAGACACCATGGAGTTCTTTGAGTGGCTCATCATCTTCATTTTCCTGTAGCTGCTACAACTCTGTACATCAACCTTGTTCTTAAAAATGGCCACCGGCACACTTCTACATTCCTCAGGCATTTGACTACCATTGATGACAGTGACATTATTTACATGAACGCTCCTACAAGAACCCTGCAGATGTTGGATGCTGCAGATGTTGGATGCTGCAGATGTTGGATGCTGCAGATGTTGGATGCTGTCTATCATGGTGCACTAAGATTCATAACTGGCTGTGATTATCGTACCCACCACTGCCCCCAGTATTCACTGGTTAACTGGTCACCATTACCTTCACACAGACTCTCCCACTGGTACATTTTCATCTTTAAATCACTTCCTGGTCTGCTGCCTTCATACATCTCCTCCTACATGTCTCTGTGTGAGTGCAGCTACAGCGTGCGCTCTCAGGACATCATTACCTGCAGTGTTCCCTCAGTGAGGACTGAACTAGGCAACAGGACCTTCTCCTACTCCGCTCCTGTTTCCTGGAATATCTTGTAAAAAGAGCTGAAGCTCTCGACCTTTGACCTCTCTAAGTGGCTTCAAACATCTGTTCATTTCCTGCAGATGTTCCTGTTTTTAGTTTCTACATCGCCTTTCAACCTATCTGTTTCTGTTTCATTTTTTATTACCATTTTCTCTCATTTGTTATTCCCAGTTTGTATGCTTTTTAAGTGATTGTCCATCGTTGTCATTATTCTTTGTTGAAATCAGGTCTCTCTTGTAAATGAGTCCCCGAAGCTCAATGGGATTAACCTGTAGAAATCAGAGTAAATAAATAAATGAAGAGTACTAATCTGGAAGTGGCAATGGACTCTCCATGAAACTTAACAATCATGTACCAGTTACGTAAACATGATTGTTAAATCCTGTTTCTTCAGCTGAGGCGACTGTAAACTCTGTAGACTCTAAACTGAAGTCCATATTGTCCAAAAATAACCTGGAGACAGTAACACGTGCATTCATAACATCCCGGCTCGATTACTGCAATGTTGGCTTTTATGTTTGTGAATGTTCCTGTGAAGTCCCTGAGACAACTTTGTTGTGATTTGGCGCTGTAGAAATAAACTGAATTGAATTCTTCTGTTTGGTATCATCAGTCCTCCATTGCATGTTTACAACTGGTCCAAAATGCTGCAGCCCAAATTTGAACTGGTACAGACAAAAGAGAGCACATGACACCAGTTTTGGCCTCCCTGCACTGGCTCCCAGTTCACTTCCTAATCCAGTTAAAATACTCCTGTATGTTTTTAAATCTCTTAATAGTTCTGCCCCCTCTTATTTCACTGATCTGCTGCAGCCATATGTCCCAACGCGCTCTCTCAGACGCTCCTATTGTTCCAGGAACCCGTCGTAAACTCAGAGGTGACAGGACCTTCTCTGTTGCAGGTTCAAGACTGTGGAAAGAGTTACCACTACATGTCAGGCAGGCCCCCTCCCTCACTGTTTTTAAGTCTTGTTTAAAAACCCACTTTTACTCCCTGACTTTAACCCTGTGTGATCTGTTCTGAACCTGTCTGTAGTGTACGGTGTCATTTATTAATAACTTTTTCCATTTGGATCTATGTATATTTTACTGTGTGCTTTACTTGTTTGTTTCTGCTGTACAGCCCTTTGGTTGGCTTTGTTGCTGTTTTAAGTGCTCTACAAATAAAATGGTATGGTAAATAAAGGTTGAATGAAAAAAATATCTCACCATCAAATAGGCCTATTAACATAATAACATTTATATTATCAAAATATATATGTATTAATTATACCGTATATTAATATAATATAGAATGATTCGGATCTTTGGAAGAAGTTATTCAACTCTCCTCCAGTACGGGGCGCCAGCAGCTCTGATCTGTTCTCTTAAAAACAATAAAAATGGTTAAACCTTGTTTCTTTACCTGGATGATTGAGTTTACAGAACTTTCTTTTTTGTTCTCTGAAACTAAAGATGTTATTTGACTGTCCTCCGGCAGGGGG